GCCAAGTACGAAAGTATAGACAAGGGCAATTCTGAAACTCGTGTGCTCTGAAACAAGACTGCCTCACGCGTCAGCACCCACCGCAACACGCACTGACTCAGTCTGCGAGTCTCAGGGCGCACGGCCCGTGCTACGGCGGGGGACCAGCCGCACGCTTGGCGAGTGCACACCAGGGAGCCTCACGACTTCTGCCCGACAGAGAGGCTGACGCTGCTACGTGGGAGTGCGAGGAGCCAGGGAGATGGGCTGGCCCAACTGCTGGCGTTCTTGCTGCTATCGCCACAGCCTCAGCAAAGGCGTAAAGAGGCGTTTGGAGAGACAGTCTCCAAGTATTAGTGACCATGTCTAGAAACAAAGAAAGGGAGTGAGACACGGGGTTCTCCAGGCTGGCGGGTCTTCAAAGAAGAGCGCTTTGTTCATCTTCACAAGCAGGTAAGAGATGTTAAAAAGCCTTATCTAGATTAGTCACAGAAACAAGAATGCAGTGCTCTTAGTCATGGAAAACACGGGGCCCATCTTCTACTCTCCGTGATTTACACCCACTCTCCACGAGCGCCGGAAGCTGCCCTGCCGAGGTGCGCGGTGTGGGGCGGTGTGAGGCCTCAGGCCCTCGCACACAGGCCACACAGCCCTTGTCCTCCCCTTCCTCGCCTCTGCCTGGAACGCCCCCCCGCACCTCTCATGGGACAGACACAGATGCGTGGGCGCATACACGAAGTGGCCATCTAAATGCCACCACTAGGTGTGACGCGCAGGGAGAGCGGGACTTCTTCACGTCACTGGGCTGGGACTCCTCCCACGGAGTCAGCACACCAGTGTCACCTGATCCGTGACATCGCATGTTCTAGGACGTGAAACACACGTTCTAGGAACGTCTCGTAGTCCCTGTATTGTACGAGTATCAAAGTGACGGAACTGCTATCCTGAAAACTTGGTATTTATAAAAATAGCAACAATACTCTTTACAGACACATTTAATAGCAAAGATAAAGTCAGCCTATGTTGTCCATTTGGCTTTATGGAAAGAAAGAAGGGGCCAGCAGACGGCATAGCAATTACGTTGCTGGCCTCCCACATGGCGGACATGGCTCGAGTCCCAGGCTTGGCTTCCAATCCCTCAGGTGCATGTCCGTGGGAAGAGAGTGGGGCAGATGCGACTGGGATGTGACCACCCCCCGGGTGATCTCTCACTTTCCCTCTCACGGTCTCTGTCTCTCTGGTGAGCTCATATGCCCTAAGGCAGAAACCTTTAGAAATAAACAAGAAAGAGCGGGAACAAACCTAACCAAAGGCCTCGAGCATGGGTGGGACCCACAGCGTGGGTGTCCTGGGGGCTCCCTGAGACATGGCAGCTGGGACCAGCACAAAGTTGCGGTGTGGACGGGGCTGCAGTCAGGGATCTGAGCTACCAAGTCTGCTCCTTCGGAAAGTTCTCTGGGAGAATCCTAAGAAAGCAAAGTCGACCCTGAGAAGGTTACAAGTATCCTAAACAGAGAGCTGCTCCCTTTATAAAACTATACAGATGTTGACTTAGAAGAATATTTTTTTATTAAAAAGAAAGTTTATAAAAACTTTTATGAAGTTTTTGCTACACAGTATCTGTGCTCACCAGAGAGAGGCAGAGAGAGACAGTAAGATGGAAAGTGAGAAACCAACCCTGGGGGACAGCCATGCAGCAATAAACCCTTCTCCCCCTGGGATTCTGGACATAGGTACACACGCCAGGTGTGATTTTTCAAGCTACTAGGTCTGGGACCTGAAGCACAGTCGGCCATGTGGGAGCCCAGCACCTGCCAGAGGGTGTATGCACTTGTAAGGGAGGGAGGAAAGGAGGGAGAGAGGTAGACAGCGAGCAGAGCCCACGGAGGACGACTGCACTGCAACTCCTTCTCCACCTCCCTCCTTCCAGGATTTCGAGCATAGGTGTGCACGTACCCAGTGTGGTTTTCAAGGCATCATGCCCAGGACTTGAACTCGAGGGTGTATAGTCAGCCAAGTGGGATTTGGCTGTCTGAACCCCATATCAAATTTTAATAACTACATTAGAACAAAACCAGGAAAACACAAAGGGAAAACTTCTAATCATCTTACAGTCTGCAAAGTGGTTAAAAGAGGGAAAAAGTCAAATGACGACGGGGATAAAGGTAGGCCAGCATAAAAACTAAAAAGAGATGAGAAGAAAGATGATAAAAAGTTTTGGGGTGAACTGGATTCAATTCGGCAAACTTGCTGAACACATGGGCGATGCCAGGCCCTGCGGGGCTGGGCTCAGGCAGAGACAGAGGCCCAGACACAAACACTGTCCTGCCTTTCCGTGAGACAACAAGAAATAGCACAGGCAGTAAGATGCAGAAAAACAAAACTACGGCCTTTCTTTTAGGAGTCTAAATGCCACCGGGAAGACAGGACACACACAGAAAAGTGAGCGGCACGGTGCAAGCAGGCCCAGAGCGAGTTGTCCGCAGGGACACCTGCCCCCTGCCGAGTGGTCTGTGCGACTGCTGTTAGCAGCTGTCACTTGTTCAAATACCAGCAATGGCTGAGGGTTCCGTTCACTTGGGAAACACTTTCTGTTTAAAACTACTGGGCTACCGGGAAAGTCATGAAGCACTTTTGAACAACAACAACAACAACAAACAGGAAAACATGTCATGGCTTTCCTGACACCCTAATAATTAAAGCGTCTCAGACAGCACCTTTTTTTTTTTTTTTTTTTTGCTATAAGGGCGCGTGTGTTCACCAGAAAGACAGAGAGAGACGGAGAGATAGAAAGCAAGAAATCACCTCCCGGGGGGATGGCCACCCTGCAATCCCTTCTCCTCCATTCTCCTCTAGGGATCTTGGGCACGCACGCACACGTGCACGATGTGAGTTTAAGTTACCGAGTCCGAGACTGCAAGCGTGGTTGGCTACATGGGAGTTCAGCGACACAGCCATTACACTAACTGCTGGTCCCAGACATCAGCATCATTTTGACTATGTCTTTTCCTTACGTTTTCACAAAGCAGCGATTGCTTGGGGGTACCTGTTTCTCGGAATTCTAGATAGATAGAAAGAATACAGACCCTGGAAAACATTAACTTAGGTAGGTGACACCTAGTTTAAACCTGAAATGTCTGCCCATGGGTAAAATTAAACGCATCTTGTATTTAAAGTAAAAATTATACATAACATAGTATCCTGAATGAGATCCTGGAACAGAACATGGACTTTAGAGGGGACAAAAACCCTTTTTTACTGGAGCTCGGAGTGGACTACAGATTATGAAACGTTAGTAACCAGGAGACAGGCTCGGGCCACGGGAACTCCCTGGACATCTAACACGACTCCAGAACCAGTTTATTTGAAAGGAACTGCATATGAAGACACAGGTCCTATGAATGGGAGCTTGAGATGACCTCTGCTAAGTCACAGAAACCTCCACTTACCATGGGGCGTGGTGACCCCAGGCCACGGCGCACATCTTATGGTAGTGGCTCCCTGCATGTCGGGATCCAGGAGGGCAGAGGAAGCACGAGCCTGGGCCTGAGAACACCCCTCTCCTCGGGGGGCCGGGGCCACAGACCCCTCCTGGCTGCACGCTGCAGGTCCCCCGTGCCTGGCACACAGCAGGCACGTGACGGATGGCCGCCCCGTCCCTACCCTCAACACGTGAACTGCAGTGAGGCCCAGGTGAGCAGAAACGGGAGCACAGACCAGTGTAGTGTGGAAAGGATGGGCTCCGGTCAGCCCCAAGGGCAGCCCCGAGACCCTGCTGCTCACAGGCAGTGCCGACTCGGGGCAGGTACGTACACGTCAGCCTCTCCCGGAGCTCTGGTGTTGGAGCCATGTCCACAGCGCTCTTGCCATGGCAGTTGACGAGCGTGGGGTCAGCGCCGTGGCTGAGGAGCAGAGAGCAGACTTCCACGCGGTTCTTGGAGGCAGCCTCGTGCAGTGGGGTGAACTGCCACAGGTCCATGGCATTGACACAGGCCCCGTGCTGCGTGGAGAGAGTGGGCAGCTCAGGGCCAGTCACGGGCTGAACAGGTTCAGGAGACATGGAACTCTCTGTGGAGATTAGCCCTAACTTCTGAGATGTGAGTCAGCATCTGAACCTCTTCATCTCATCTTAATTCTTAAGACAATGGCAGTCTTTTTAGTGTGGAGCGCCCCGCCCTAACATGGCGCCGAGAGCACCCAGACCTCTACACAAACAAGCCCCTATTTGGTTATTGTTGCTGTTCCAGAATGCGTAGGCACTGCCTCAGCCTATCAGTGCTTGCCTGGTGGCAAAAGAGGACTGGTTTGCGGGATGGATATACAGGGAGCCGGGGTGGGCTGGGGGAGGAAGAGGAAGAGAAGAGGAAGAAGACTGTAAGAACCCTGGGGTAGTAAAGCGTTCTGGAGGAGACCTTGTCAGCGTCGTCGTTGAAGCGCCATTTTAGAAGTATTTTATTCTGTTAGAAATATTGGCCAACCCCCCCCAAACACACACACGAATAGTCATGCACATTTCTAAAAGAGCAAATGATGCTCGGCATTTCAGACCGTTCTCACCTTGAGCAGCAGCTCCGTGACTTCGTAATGTCCGTACGAACAAGCGTTATGAAGGGGCACGAGTCCACTGAAAGAAAAGGCGAGTGAGCGGTGAGAGACGGAGCGGGTAAGCCCGGGACAGTCCCGTGGAGTGTGCACGTACTTTGTAAGACAGCAGACGGGACAGTCCCGTGGAGTGTGCACGTACTTTGTGAGACAGCAGAGAGCAGAGCTCATGCTCCCACGTCTTTTGTTTATGGTGTGGTTTTATACATAACCCTTAAAGACAGCAATAAAAACATCAACTAAGAGACCAGCAGTTGGCATAATGGCTATGTTGACTCCTATGCAGTTGACTGTGGTTCGAGTCCCGGACCCAGTAGCTTAAACTCACGCCAGGCGAGTGTGCCCAAGATCCTGAGAAGAGAATGGAGAAGGGACTACGGCGTGGCCATCCCTCCTGGGGGGTAATTTCTTGCTTTCTATCTCTCAGTCTTTCTGGCGAGCGCAAGCGCCCTATAGCAAAAACATCTCCAAAACAAAGAACAAAACAAAACAAAACAAAAAAACAAATGAACAAACAAAACAAAAAAACAAGTGAACAAACAAAAACATCAACTAAAAGAACACTTAGGGGACGAGCAGATGACATAATGGTTACGTAGCTGGAATGCAGTTCAGGTCCTGGACCTGGCGGCTTAAAACTCACGCTGGCACGTGGTATGTGCACCCAGGATCCCAAGAAGAGAGTGGAGCACGGCCTCCCCCAGGGGTGATCTCTTGCTTTCTGTCTCTGACTTTCTCTGTCTTTCTGTCTCTGTGTCTCTTTGGCAACTGCATTTCAGCAGAAACCTCTCTTTAAAAAAAAGAGCATGTAGGTAAAAGGAAAGACTGTGCCGACTGGTGCCCGCACGCTTTGTGAAGCAGGTGTTTACAGGAGACAGATACTGGCTGGACGTGAACTGAAATATCCGTACTATTTTAATTCAGTTTCACAGTACTCTCCAGCACAACTGACTATATACCTGAGCGACCATAACTTGGCGCGAAGCACACTCAGTCAGTCAGAACGCCCTTTGTGTGGTGCGGCCCGCTCCCTTGAGACTCCCTGGTGCACACCACCCACTTCCAGATGCGTACGACGACGACGGGGAGGTGCATGGAGCATAAGGCACCTGAGCCCCTGCACAGCAGAGATGAGACAGACACTGCATCTGGCATGCCACGTGCAGCCACGGGAAGGAAGGCACTGAAGCGTGGACGGGCCATGGCAGTGTCCCTCTGCTGACTGCCTCTTACAGGAGCTCAGATCCATTTCTTGACCGGGGGTTGGGGTGTAAGGAACTCCACCCGAGGGCATCCTTCTACACGTGATCTGTCCGAGAGAGTGACACGGTCTACCTCACCTCGGGCAGGCTCCCTCATCTTCTAGAACTGAATGTGGGGTATGAGAAATGGTAGTCACCACGTGGGCAGGCAAACCCCATTCACATGTTCCTGGAAGCCAGAGGGAAAACTGCGGCATGGTGCCCAGAACCCACCACCTCCTAAAGACGGTGACTTAGCGGCCTTCCTAGCTACCGCCCCCCTCCCACATCAGCCCTTGCAAGGGCCACTGAGGTGCCCTCGGGCTAAACGTCTGGGAGCCGCGGGTGGGGGGTCACAGATGAGTGTGTGCGCTGACGACCTTGGACCGTCCGGTCAGTAAGAGCCAGTCCTTTCATAACTGGGAGGGCACAGCAGCTGTGCCCCTGCACTATCACAGACTTCCCTCTGTCTTACCTTTCTGCATGTGACTTTGCGTTGGAAAATAATGACTACATACCAGCTTGTAGCCTAGTGGGTAAGGAAGCCATATCCCACACGGTCAACTGAGGTTCAAATCCCAGTTCCGGTGGCGTGAAAACCTGCCAGGGGTGTGTGTGTGTGTGTGTGTGTGTGTGTGTGTGTGTGTGTGTCCCAAATCCCAACAGGATGGAGAAACGGAGGAGAAGGGATTGTAGGGTGACTACACCCCATTGTGGGGTATTTTCTCCTCTCTCTCTCTCTCTCTCTCTCTCTCTCGCCAGAGCACATGTTCTCTGGCAGTTAAAACAAAACACACCACAGCTCTGGGCCAGCAGGTGGCAATGAGGTTAGGATGGCTGGCTCCCACGTGGTTGACTCTGCAGTTCAAGTCCCAGACCTGGTGGCTTGAAAACCATGCCAGGTATGTTTGTGTGCACCCAAACTCCCAGGAGGAGAATGGGAGAGAGGGGATTGTGGCATGGCTACTACCCTCCGTGGGCGAGTTCCCACTCTCTCTCTGACGAGCACCCGACAGCAAACTAAGAAACAAACACAACCTCATGAGCCGTGGTACGCGGCATGCGGCTTCCGCATCTAGTTCTGATGACACGGGGCACTAGAGGGCGCAGAGTGCAGGAGCAGGGCGGCTGCCGGTGCCCGAGCCACACACCTACCCCTTGTCCTTGGCGTGCACGTCCGCACCGTGCTGGAGCAGCAGCTGCACGATCCGCACTCTGTTGTAGCCGGCGGCGAGGTGCAAGGGGGTGGACTAGGAGAGACAGGAGACACTGTCAGGTGGGGTGCGCTCTGCATCCCATCATCGATCCAGACTTCACAGAATGCAGCACTGTCAGGGTAAAAGCCAGAGACCCCAGTCCTAACTGGCGAAAGAGTCACCTTCCTCGGGAGCAAATGAACGCTCACAGGA